CGGGGGGGGGGGGGAGCAGGAGGAGGAGAGGTAAACCTCAGCCCACTTTGTCTAGTGTCTGTGCTAAATCCATTTCCACTTTCAAATAGGATATTTACAATTAACTTCGGTGGTTGCCTTTTGGTCCTGCTCAGCGAAAATAGAAAGGAAAACAAAATAGAGGAAGACCACTTTTCCCTTGTAAGAGATGAAACTTTGAACACTTCCTGAAAGGAAGGCTTTAAAAACTCTTGAAAAAGACAGAACTTTCTGAAGCATCTCCAGGGAAGCCAAGTACAGAAGTGCTGTAAGCCCTTCAATCATTCATTCGTTCATCTGGTCCACACATATTTTAAAATCAAATATCAGGCAGCCTACCTCCTGCAATCAGCTTCCCAGCTGAATCCGAGCTATGACTGCCTTTTCCTAAAACTTCAGTTATGAGTTCCATGTGCCCCTTGGGATCTTCTACTTCCCGTGTAGAAGGGAACTGCCAGGAATCTTCCTGCTCAGTGAAAGCAGGAAGTCTTCGGAAAGCTGGGTGTGGGGCTCGGGGTCTGCTGGAGTTTGGGAGGACCTTGCTAGGCCAGTGGAAACAGCAACTCACTTTTTAGCCCCTTTCCTTCAGTCCTTCAACAAGAAGCCCAAAGGAATGGGGGAAACACTCTGGAACTGAATGGAGTGTGAGACCTGAGGTGTCCTAACCTGAGGTGTTGCCTTGGAGCCCTGAGGAATTGCTTAAAGGCCCTTCCCTCCTCTTCCTGCTTCCCCTTTTGCCCCATCCCTCTTAAAGGACACTAAGCTCTATAAATAAGGAGAGCATCTTTGTTTCCTTGACTCCTTTCACCTCTTCAGTGGAGAGGCTGAGGCTGGAGAAGGGACGAAGCATTCCTTTTCTCCCACAGTGGGGCTCAAAGAGCTGTAAGCATTCTCTATAAAGTTAGAGTGCTAGCCCCACTTCCCGGGCCGACTTAAGGGGGCTAAGACACATTTCCGTGGAGGGGACAGGTGCAGGAGCAGGCGGGGGAGGGGCTCCCCTCTGGGTTGAAAGCATCATTAGAAGCAGTGGGCACACGCGACCCACCAGGCTCTATTCATCCCAGTGGCTACTGTGCCACTTTCAGGAAACAGAAAACAAGGCTACACTCCAGCGGAGTAGAGGATTTTCGATTGAGTTCCGGAATCTAGAATTTCCTCTAGGGTCAGTGAGACCCCAGCGTCCTCATCCCAGGTAGTCCCACCTGGGGAAAGTGCCCAGGCCAAGGGGGTGCAGTAGGGTTGCCGGGCTTTGCCCGGGGACCAGGTGGCACTTTGGAGTAACTGCAAATGTGCATCACTTGATAACTCGAGTTTGCTTTAGACTAGACCTGAATTTGGAGGCCATAATCCTGTGGCCCTAGTAAGAGCCCTTTTGGTCTGAAAGGCACAGCGCTTAAAAAACGTGTCCAACTTTTGCCATTTTTCAGGAGCACTGCCAAAGCCTGGGAAAAATCAGAGTAGCGAACTAGGAACCGCGCACTTAAAGCGGCGCCACCAGGCTTTGAACGCGCGGGGCTGGAAATGAGGGGATGGCCAGGAGGCGCCGGCCTTCCTGTTTCGGGGAGGCGATTTCTCCACAGGCAGGCCTTTCCTAAGGCGAAATTGGCACATTCAGACTGGTGCAGGCGCAGGGGCGCACCTCGGATTTGCTCGGAAGCCTCCCCACCCCCAGCCGGGGGCTCGACAGCCCAGAGAAGGGCACTCGCGGCTGCGTCCCAAACGCTCCGAGAGAAGGGCTGCTTGCTCTGCCCGACTCCGGGGTTCGGGCCCTAAAGGTCCAGGCACCAGCTCCGGGCCACACACACGTCCGCGTGAGCAGCTCCAACCCCCAGCTGCTTGCTGCCTTCAAATCTAAGCCCTCCTCGGCCCAGTAGTAAGTGTAGAATACCGGACTCCCGAAATCTGCCTGAGATCTGCTGCACCACTCGCCCTCAGCCCTCCCTAAAATAGAGGGCAAATCCTACACGGCGTTTCTGAGACCCCGCACAGAAGCGACTGCGCTGGATTGGGATTGAACAACAACAAAATGTGATCGAAGACAGTTTGCGTCCCACCCTGGAAGGGGGAGGTCTTTCCCACCGGCCCCCTTTGGTTTCCAGGGAGGAGACCCCCACAGAAGCTCCTCGCGCTGGGAAGGGCGTCCCTGCGCTGCAGCCCCCGGGCTCAGGGCACCGGGACCTCTGCCCGGCCAGGAACCCGGACCCGTATCCTGAGGAAAGTCCAACAGTGAAGGGAAAAGCCAAAGGAAGAAGACGCAGATTTCAGGGGTCCGGTCTGTCAGGAGAATCTGAACAGACTCTGTGTATTCGCGCCTCCTAAGCGTTTACATTTTAAGGCATACACACACTTCTCTTCGTTTGACTCCACGAAGGCACGCTCACGGTACACACGCACACACGCGCGCGCGCAGACACACACACACACACACACACGCAGGCGAGCGCGCGAGATATGCAAACCGGCCCTAGACGAGGAGCGAGGAAAATGAGAAGGAGCCTGGGGCAGCACTCACCTGCCTCCAGCGAGGTGCCGTTCAGCATTCTCAGCGCACGAGGGGTGGTTCGCGCTGTTCACGGTGGCTGCGCTGACGGAAAAACGCCGGTCGTCAGCCGGGCAGTGCGGGCCGGGTTCCCCAACACCCCCATCTGCCGGGGCGATCGGAACAGCGCGTCCCGCGGGGGCCCAGGGCACAGACACGGCGGGAGCACAGTGGGGCTT